TTTAGCACAAACATGATTAAATCACTTGCTTTTAAAATTATTCTTATGACACCCAAACATCACAGCACAAAGCATTTACATTTCATATGCTATGGATAACTGTTGCAGTTTTGCAAATGTTTTGTTTTTGTTTTTGTTTTTTAAATTAATTAAACACCAGTTTGGCTCTTACATTAAAAAAGACCACATATACTGTCTTAAAATGCAGCATTTGGGTATTGAAATCGGTCAGTAGTATACGAAGAGGATTATCATTACTATGCAATGCACGAGTGAACCACATAATTCATTGCCATAGAATGCTACAGCCTTTAGGATGCTGTAGTCTTTACCACAGGATGCTATAGTCTTCAGCGCAGGGTGCTGAAGGATGCTATAGTCTTTAGCACAGTGGTCTGGATTCAACTACTTGTTCAGAAAGTCACCAAGTGGCTGATAGAAAAATGGGATGGTACATGAGATTAGGTCCTTTTTGCCCTTGTCAGCTTCTTTCTTTCTGTTTTTCAGTTATCATCTGCTGACTGCTCTTGGAGGCAGGACACTGGGCCAAAAAGGAGCTTCGGTCTGACCCAGTACAGCCACTCTTAGGTTACTACCATACCTGTTCGTAGCTTTCCCAATGAGTTTGACAATACTGCTTAGGAAGGTGGAAGAAGCACTGCAATGATGCAATGGTTAATCCTTAACCTCAGAGATAGTGCTTATCTTACTTTCCTTCCCTTTCCCCATAATGTAATATGATGCAGCAGCAGCAAGTGTAAGCAGCTGAGTAAAGATCATCCGCACGCCTGGCAAAGATCCAAACCAGCAGGGCCTGAGGGCTCCCACGCCGTGTGTGGATGAAGATCATAGATCATAGAATCATGGACTCATAGAATCATTTAGGTTGGAAAAGACCCTTAAGATCTTCAAGTCCAACCATAAACCTAACACTGCCAAGTCCACCACTAAACCATGTCCCTAAGTGCCACATCTACACATCTTTTAAATACCTCCAGGGATGGTGACTCAACCACTTCCCTGGGCAGCCTGTTCCAATGCTTGACAACCCTTTCAGTGAAGAAATTTTTCCTAATATCCAATCTAAACCTCCCCTGGTGCAACTTGAGGCCATTTCTTCTTGTCCTATCACTTGTTACTTGGGAGAAGAGACCGACACCCACGTCGCTACATCCTCCTTTCGGTTAGCTGTAGAGTGATAAGGTCTCCCATCAAGTCTCCTTTTCTCCAGGTTAAACAACCCCAGTTCCCTCAGCCGCTCCTCATAAGACTTGTTCTCCAGACCCTTCACCAGCTTCGTTGCTCTTCTTTGGACATGCTCCAGTACCTCAATGTCTTTCTTGTAGTGAGGGGCCCAAAACTGAGCACAGTATTCGAGGCGTGGTCTCACCAGTCTTTGTGGCAGGATGTCTTTTCTGTATATACTGTATTTCCAGCTCAAATTTACTATGTGATGAGGGTGTGTAGCCAGTGAGGATGGCAAAATTTGGAACCGTATGTACAAATGACCTGTGGAGGAAAGGTTGTTAGAAACTGCATTTCCTACTTTCTTGGACTCCAACAGTCTGGTGGCACGCTGCTGGCATGCAGGGGAAACCTGACGTTGAACTACATTGAATATCAAAACCCCCAACATTTTTTAAGCTTCAAAATTAAGACAGCTTAAAGAGGCTTGATATTCACTGAGTTTCAAGCCCCTTTAAGATATCTTGAGTCCTTCAACCTACGAGCAAATCCTGCGTGATCACCAGTTATGTGCACCAGCAATTTGTGTAAAGCTGGCTGAGAAAAAGCCCCCAATATGCTGTAACTGACAGTGTGCACATAAATGGCAACAGAAATGCGTTACTGTGAGCCATCCATACTGGTTCAGTAAGGGAAATATGTTCTTGAGAGCAAGAAAGACTTTAGGGTGGTATAATCGTGTCAATGGTTTTCCCTGTGCTGCCAAGAAACCAGATCCCATTGCGTACAATCAAGAGTGTTTAATGTAGACTTTACCTATACAGAGAAGAGGCAGAAAAAGGTTTTATTTATAATTAAGCTGACTGATATGGCAGCCTGACTTTTATTTCCTAGTAACTGAGAATTTTCTTCACTAATAATCCGATTCCTTTGTTTGCACCATTTTCTTAGAATGCAGCTAAGTGAGTATAATGCACAGAGGAAAACCGTGTTTTACTCACCAGGTTTTAGCTGAATTTACCTCTCAACTACCAATATATATTGATATGCTGACCATATTTATTTATAAATCTGCCCCGCTTTTTCCCTGCAGTCCCAGAAGCCAGTCTGCTGGAAAAGCAACAAACCTAATAAACAATTCATCATGGACATGATAAAATCATCACTGAAAATAAAAGGAATTCTCCCAAATGACTTCAATCGGAGCTAGAGCAGTCCTTTAATTAACACAAAAATGCCTAACAAAAAGAAAGAGATAAAGAGAGAAACACAATGCATATAATCCTTTTATTTTCTAATTTATTCTTCCTTTTTGTGTTGGCACTGGAAAAACTGTGAGAAACTAATAAATAAAGAAAAAAGCCAGTATGTAGTTTAGAAAATTCCATGTATTATATATTGTGTTTCCTTAGACTCTCACTACCTTCCTGTCACCTCCCCAAAACAATATTTTAAAGTGAGGTCCCATACAAAGATATTCAGTTTGAGGTAATATCAAATAAAAATATTGTAAAATATGCATCAGTATCCTTGAAAAAGTAGACTTTTGAGTTGCTCAATTTTTATTTTTCAACAAACGAGGAAAAATGGTAAATACAGGAATCTACAGAGTAGTATCATCAGGTTTGTGACAAAGATTACTCTCGATGTTAGATATTCCCAATGATGACATTCCAGTTAAACAGTGCATTTCACTTGTGAGTGGGTTGAAAGTCATTAAGAAGAAAAAAATAACTTTTTTTAGGAATGATGTAAATCGTTTATTTCAATGCCAGTTTTTAAAGTAAAATAGCCTACTTACATGCTAGAGTATGTCTTTTAGTACACACACATCGAAAGTCTTTCAACACTCACAAGTCAAGTGCCTAATACCTGACAGGGATAGAACGAAATTCTTGAAATTAGTAAGTGTATATTTATTAGCTGCCTCCCATACTTTGTTTTTAAACCTGTAGCAGTGTGACAGTCCCATTACACATGCCATCTGGTAAATGCCATCCACTGTCATTTGCGGATCTGAGAGTGAAACCTAATTTGTTCAATGAACTGCTGGGAGCTGACAGAAGCAGAGCGAGGACATCCTCTGCTCTGTGTCTCCTCTCTCCAGAGCCCTTCCAAACGCGCTTTGATTGGGACTCCTGAGCCCTGGCACATTCTGCTGCTTCTGTTCTTTAATCAGCGTTGATGAGCGTCTGTGTCTACCCATCCCCCTTGGAAACTTTGCAAACGCCCTGCCTCTTGCTTACAGAGGTCCTGAGTGCATATGAGCATCAGGTCCAGGCTGGATTTAAGCATTTGCTTATGCTCCTTGCAGCATAAAACACAAAGTGCTCCACTTTAAGAAAGTAAAGCAGATACCGAGCTGCTTTGCCCCCAGTGTGAAAAAGTAAGAGAGACCCAGCACATACCCCATAACCTGGATGACTGTTCTCAAAATCACGAGCAGGCCACTTTCCTGCATGACGAGGAGGTAAGGATGCTGTTGGATTTCTTCCCCCAGTCTTGGCTGCAGAGGGGTAGTTACAAAGCAGGGCTGTGATATGCCCCGAGGTGTGGGACCTGGCACTGCTGCTCCCTGCCACCTCCCCCAAAATTTTTAGGATGCTGGGTGGCACCGTACAGGCTCTGTAATCTCATTATCCCTCTCTGCATCCCTCTGGCAGGAGCGGGATGGGGTGCGCTGGACCACTATCAGCTGGAACCCCTTCACCTGGCTTGCAGGCTCTGCTCCCGTCTCCTCGGCTCCAGCATTGCACCAGCTAACTCCAGTAACTCGACAGCAGTTTTAATGCTGCTGCTTTATTTGTAGCATAACAGAAAGGACCAAAACTATTGGCAGGAGAACTTCTGTGTGTATAGACGTACTCTATACGTTCCTGGATAGATGCATAGTTAATAATGCTGCATAAATCTCCAGTTACTGGAATGAGATTTTCAATTAATACAGCTAAAAATCTAGCTTTATCATAAGGCCTTTGACATTAAAAATGTTACTGTCATTATCCATACTAGAAGTAAATTAAGCCATATCACTATAATGACACGGGCAAATTTATCATCAAGGAAGTACTACCCTCTGCAGTCTGAAAATGCACGGAAACTCAGTGCCTCAGTAATTTGACAAGAAAAAGCATTGGCCGTGGCTTGTCATCAATTTTTTAAGCAGCTTTCGTTATTATTTCCAAGAAGGTTCTGCTTAAACACTATCAGAAAGAAGCAACTCTAAACATTTAGGTGGTAAGTTATAGATTTCCAGAATAAAAACTGAAAATCATACGACTTTGAACAAATATTTACCAGACATTTGTTTTGTAACACTTTTAAGAGAATATTCCAAAATATTGCCGATGTTTTCATGATCTAAACAGCATAGGGAATTATATCAGCTACAATTTTAAAATGAAAGGAGTGATTATAAAAAGAATAAGAAGTAAAATTGCAAAAAAGGTAATCAAAGTTATGTAAGTGTTAAAAAAGGAAAAAAGGAGGAATTGTCTTATTCTTCTCATCCATATTCTCAAAGGCTTCAATGTGGCAGATAATTTCAGACCAGAAG